CTGTCCAGTCAACGTACGTCATATTTGCGTGTTGAGCGTTACTTCCTAGTTTCGGCATACGAGTTTTTGGCGTACGAGTTGACTGGGGAGATATAGTCGACACGCACTGCCACTGCCGGTCTACGGTAACTAAAACTCAATCCCTTCAGTGACGCTAACTTCCTATTTTTGTCTGCACTCCCACGTCTGCATGGCGCTCTGTGACCGCACTGACCCTCATACCAGTTTTTCACGCATAATCGGGGCTCACACCCTGGTGTCATCTCCCTTTGGAAAAAATCATTTCCTGGCCTTGCGACGTACTTTTTATACCTCTCGATGCCTTCCCTTCTTTCGCGCTGTGCGCTCTGGCCCTTCGCTGCAGGACCCCACCAGAAAGTTTTCGAATTGGGTCCCAGTGCAAATGCACATTCCCGCTAGGTCCCCCTTGCAATGCATATCCCGCCACGAGAAGTGATGCTCCACACCCCATATCGTTGTGAATCCCGGTGGCCTAGTGGTCAGCGCACTCGCCCGATCAGCGGGAGGTGCGTGTTCGAGCCCTGCCTCAGGTCTGACTTTCCCCCACAACGCAGTATGCTTGTTACTAGTCGCAGTGGTTGCAGCCAGCTTCATAGTGGAGGAAAAAGTAGTGAACACCTCCCGAAATGCCCTAGAGAGGAACTCATGCTAAACGGAGCTTGCACGAGCATAAGGTGGAAACGGGGCGTGGTTAGGCGAGATCTCACCTGTTGCACTATTCAGAAAAGAAAGAGGAAATGGCGGCAGGGTACAGCATCGTTGTGTGAAACAAATAGCGGGGGGTCGTGCTTTTCCGCTAGGGAAGGGTGGTCGTATTTGGTCGTTGGGAGAGAGGGAGGAGGGTCGTATGTGCGTTTGAGAGAAATTTGCTGCGTTGGGAAAAAATTTTCCCGGTTGTTGACTTTTCGCGTGATTTTGCCTGTTTCATGTGTACTATACACCCTACCCACTCCCCCCCCCCGCTCCTCGACGGAAAATTTTCGGGCGAAAAACTGGAAAATGTGGGAAATAGGTAGCTATGTGTTGGGGAAAGGGGAGGGTCGTACCGAGATCCTTACTTAGGTGAGGAGGGGGGTCGTACGTACACCCCTCTCGAAGGAGGGGGGTCGTATCTACACTGCCACTTTACACATCACGATGCTGTACCCAGAGTGGGCGGAACAGCCACACCACGCCAGGTCCGTGGTGCCTCCTCCGGTGCAGTTCGGCTTGGTAGGGCACAGAATTTACAGGTCATACCAAAATCAGTCTTGTTAGTCAACATGAGCTGGAAAAAAGGAACGAGATGTGCAAAAAGTCCCTCAGGCACTCCTTCCTACGACCAACGGGGGTTGACCCTCAGCCCACGTTTCCTGCCATACATGTACGTACACTTCGGGTTGGCAAGCTCTGGTCTGCCCGCTGCATGGGTACAATCTTTTCTTTCGCTGTAGGGGCCCAGAAGCTCTCTGGGAAAATCCAAAGCGATAAACCTTATAAGTTTTCCCTTCAAATGTCACATCGAATCTTCCATATGTCGCACCGTCAGCATCCGGTATAACTTCTCTATCAGAGGCATCAATTTTATAAGCTCCAATTACCGATATACCTGAACGACTGCCACAGAGAATGAGAAAAAAGCAAATTAGTTAGGGAAATTGAGAGAGTAAACTGTATTATGAAATGCCTTCATACCCTTACCTCCGCTCTTCGGAAAGTATTCGCAACATTTTTCTTTCCCTTCCTCGATGAATTTACACAACATAACGATTAGCTGGAAAGGAGGACAAGCAATATCAACCCTGTCAACCATTAAGCCTCAACTGCCTCATACTTTGACTTCCAAGCCAGATTCTGATCGCATTGTCCCGGGTGTGCGACAAGAGAATCGTAATTCGCCGCGCTGATGGGCGTCGCGTGCGAAGTCGCGCCCGCAAATGACGATGGTTCCAGGTCACAGATTGAGGGAACGTCGCGCTCATTGCCGCGCGCGACGAAGCGACAATTTACGATTCTCTTTCCCATCTTCCAACGCGCACAGCGCGAAGCCTGGAATTTTGGCTCCAATTGGAAGCGGCATTCGTTTTTAAGTGGTCAGGGCACTCCGTGGGAAGAGTTTTGATCAAGTCTACCACTAAAAATTCGGTCAAAATGGGCCCCTATTTTCCTAAGAAGGGGCACTTACAACTTACCCTTACTCTCTCCTGGATTACCATAGCCCAAAAGTCTTCTGCAGAACTAGTTAGTGGTCCCTTGAGTACAAATAAACAAGTTGTTGCCCACCATTACCTTGCTGGCATGTATATAATCGTTTCCTAAAAATTAGATGAAATAGAAAATAGTCGTTTGCTATCTCTAGATGAAGAATAGCTAGTTCCATTCCTAGATGTAAATTTTTTATACGATGGCAACTTCAGGAGAGCGAGAGTAGGATTTGTAGCGTGAGGCCCGATGATCACAGTGAGCTGCGGTGAACAGCAGTACCACAATTATTTATTAGGAAAAATATAGAACAGAAGATTGAAGAGATGAACAGTTAGAGAATAATCGTAGTTGAGCCCTGGAGAGGAGTTGACGGAGTCGATCGACGAAGTCCTCGATTGTTTGATCCTTGGCGGCTGGCGTTGACGGCGAGGAAATGGAACGGTCCTTCTAGTGTTCGGCCCCCTTTTATAGGGTCCCTCTGACCCTTTTGACCCCCGCCGAGGTGACCTCCTCGAGATCGCCAGGCCTCGGCCGGCGACCCCCCTGATCTCCACAGATTTCTAATTGGATTTTGACGACGTTACCCTAATTTATTAGGTTGTTCCGAAAGTTCGTTACATTTTTTTGTATCTCGTATCAGATCTTTCCGCAGCCACTTGTGTAGTCTATGGGAAGGTGTTAAGTGACATCCCAAAGTTGCTTTACCGTCCTTCGCAGTCGACGTTCTCATAGTAACTGAAATTCATTTTTAACACACTTCGCCATATGAATCTCCACCAAGCCACAACGTGGTTGGAGCCACAAGCGGCATTTCTCTGAGTTAGGTCCTGATGGTACCTTCCACAGTACGGCGTTGAAATGGCCCGATCGCTTTCGCTTGAGTGACTTCTAGCTGGGAGAAAAACTTCGTCCAGGGAGGACCTCTGCCTTGGATTTGGACCTACTGCGTTCCTAGATTGAATCAGTTCGTAAGAATCACTTCGCTATCTCGCCCTTACCAGGGCACGCCATCGCGTTGTGATACATTTCTGCTGAATACGACCCCTGCCTCTAAAAAGTGTCGAAGTCCCTCAATGTGAAATACGACTCTCCCCTGTTGTGATTGTAGCAACGATGGCTTCCCGGGTCCTCACACTTGACTGTCCCACAAGCACGAATGACAGACTCAAGGAAGTGTTGAACTTCGGTCAAAAGTTCTCTCATGAAATGATGGTACTCGAAGGGGAGCGCGTGTGGGTACTGCATACAGCTTCTCTCCCGCTTCCGCCATACAGACTGGTTGAACAACGTTGTGACTGGATATAGAGGAGATGTCTCTACTAGGTGAACGACTCCCGGAAGCGCCAGTGGCTAGATCCTCCCAGAAGGGCGGAAAAGTCGCGCAATCCTATCAATCCATAGGGCAGTTAGGGTGGGTATGTGGTGAGCTTTATCACGGGGAATTTCTCATTCTCGACGCTGTGTTAACTAGCGAATCCTCCTGTAATTAACTGCAGAGGGATGACGAAAATCCCCTCCAACTGGTCCCACAGCACAGCAATGTTTGCCTACTCCCTGACGCTTAGCTGGGAAATTCCGCCGCAGCCTTCGTGTAGCCCTGACTTAGTTCTTCTGAATGCCATCTAATGCAATCTCTCAACGGCATCTTCTGGGTGAAAAATACGATTTCCAAAAGTCTCAAAGATGACCCCGCTGTTTTTCTCGGCACGGAACCAAAAGCTGCTGGAAGCAAGGGAACCACTCTTTGGTCGTTGGCAACAAGTTGCCGATGAAGATGATGTTTATTGTTGATCAAATTTGCTTCTCACTGGAACAAACCTGACTCGAAAGAGATTCGAAATTGTCACCAACTTTTGGGACAACCTAATAGGTCCGCGGCCTAGTACCTACTGCTACATGAGAAGTCCTATTGTTTAGGAGGGGGGGGGAGCTTAGGAGCTTAGAAGCGGTCCGACCACTTTTCACATATTGCCAGAAACTTATTTTGTATGATGGATGGGGCTCACCCATGCTCCAGCCCCTTCGCCTCATGTTCAGACAGAAACTTCACCTCATCCAGTATTAAATGCTATCATCATAAAGAAATCAAACAATTGTTGTTCGGTTTAGTGGCAGTGGGGTCAGGGGGTGGGGACCACTTTGCACTTTAGTTAGTTTCTTTCGTTAGCTCCTGTTGCGCTGTTGGATTCCACGTCTCTCTTTGGCACTAGTAATAGCGGACTCCTGTTCGTGGTTATTTGCTTCGTCTGAGCCAAGAGATGCGCCTTTGAACTTTGAGCGTCAAACCATCAAACTTTTTTCAGAACTTTCTAATTCTCTATGCTCACCTCTATTTCTTAATATAACTCTCGTATTATCCAATAACAGAATGTCTTTGTAACGATTGTGTTTTTCGTTTTCTGCGAATGCTTTCTTGGGACCTTCCGGAATATAATTTTTTACTCTCCTGTAAATTCTCTAGCATAACTCTATTACCGTAATGCATTTACTATTCGTATGCTGTCGTCGACTCCCGCATTGTTGAGATGCTCACATATTTTCAGAGCTCTAGTGAGGCGACGGACAACTCGGACAAGAATGGGATTGCCCCAACTAGACGCTTGTCCTGCAGGAACTCACATAAATTCTTCTTTGATCATCTTCAATGCTCCACTCTTTTTTAGTTTATACAGTAGCGATTCCACAGTTTTGGCAATAGCGGCAGGGTCTTTCTCGTCCTGAAGATGTCTCTTACATTAGGCACCACAGCAGTTCCACTCCTGGATTGGTGCAATACGTGTAATCCTTCTGAGCGATCGCGGGAACTCAGAGATTCTTCTCGATGTGTCACCACCTCACGCCTACTGTTACTAGCTGGTAGAACAAGGCGAAAGCTGGAAGCAGTTTGTTGGCGATCTTGGAAAGCCTGCGCTGAGTACAGCTGAAAGTGGCATGCGAGTTTCGATATGGGCCCGCTTGCAGCATGTTCTCCGACTGGTTGTTTTGTACCTGAGCGCGGCCACTATTGGTAGAAAAAGCAAACTTGGTGGAGAAGGGGTCATTCCGCGCCCCTGCCTGACACCGCCTCGTCTGACTGAGGCATAACCACCTGTATCTATTTTGTGTTTCTGTGACTCGATGATCAAAGCAGTCGCTTAAGGATAGAACAGTCTAGGGAACGTTGTGAAAGTAGAAAGTTGGTGCTTGGAACGGGGAAAAGTAGTTCAAAAAATCTTGCTGAAAACAACTTCGTCCCCAGCGATTAAGTATGATCCATCCGATGAGGATAACTCAGCGGCGATGTAGGGTGTAGGGTGTAGCTATCAGAGGAAGTTACTAGCAGGCGAAGTTTGACGACGTGGGGGGGGGAGCATTTTGTACTGTCTTTGCTTCCCTAGTTCCGGTTAACAAGTCTTACTCTGGCGAAACCTGTGAACTCTTGTGAAGCAGGAACAAGGTCATCTAGCCATTATGGTAGAACCAGTCAGTTCGGGAAGAGGCTGCCTAGATAGGTCGACACGTCGATGGAAGAAGCGGAAGAGCAACCCCGTCGGCAAACTGCACCCTCCTAGCATACTACTCGCTCAATCGCAGCTGATGTGCGGGCCAGGAGTACCAATCTGCTACTGTGTAATCGCGCACAGCGGTGAGCCACCTTTTCCTTGGTCTCCGTTCCGCTACAGGTCAGGCTGATCTCTTGAACTACGCTGCCGGTTCATGCGTTCGTGATTAATAAATGGTTTGAAAGCAGTGAGGCAGGACGTGAGACAACGGAAGCCTTCTGCCTAGATAGGTCGACACGTCGATGGAAGTAGCGGAAGTGCAACCCCGTCGGCAAACTGCACCCTCCTAGCATACTACTCGCTCAATCGCAGCTGATGTGCGGGCCAGGAGTACCAATCTGCTACTGTGTAATCGCGCACAGCGGTGAGCCACCTTTTCCTTGGTCTCCGTTCCGCTACAGGTCAGGCTGATCTCTTGAACTACGCTGCCGGTTCATGCGTTCGTGATTAATAAATGGTTTGAAAGCAGTGAGGCAGGATGTGAATTAACGGAAGCCTTGGCATAGGAGTGTACATGCACTTCTTCTTCCCCCCATCCGCTGCGAATGTGACGCTACAATCACAACCTCATCCAGACCAGAATTCAGCAGCATTTCGCAAACTCTCGAATTTTCTGGTCTCTTAGAACAAGAGATAAGAGCAGAACTATTACAAGTTATAGAAACACACTCACAAATTCCCATCTTGCTTCTTGGACATTTACATTTTCACTGCTATGGCAGACAGTGGCGGACGGTTTTGTTTCGACTTTCTGAAAAATGCTATTCCATGCTAATTCGAGAGAATCACAGAAAGAAAGCTGTTGTTGTTTGATGCCATTGAGCTGAGAGGGTAAGAGTTTCCCGGTAGCGTAATAGGAAACGCAACCGCACGGAAAGCGGACGATGCGGGTTCGAATTCCGGCCGTGGTCTCACTTTTGCACTCAACTCAGCCTAACCAGTGGAGTAGTAGTACAACCTTGTTCGTTGCGGATACTGAGGCGCGTCAGGGGGGAGTATGACGCTGCGCAAGCCCGTTCTTCACCAATCGTTGTCGCTTGTCCGCTTCAACAATTGGTGGGGGCGCACCAAATCCAGTGCCCATACTCCATAGCGTCTGTAGCGAAAACTTTTATAGAAAATGATGACAGAGCGCAAATAATTCACATCCTGCCTCACTGCTTTCAAACCATTTATTAATCACGAACGCATGAACCGGCAGCGTAGTTCAAGAGATCAGCCTGACCTGTAGCGGAACGGAGACCAAGGAAAAGGTGGCTCACCGCTGTGCGCGATTACACAGTAGCAGATTGGTACTCCTGGCCCGCACATCAGCTGCGATTGAGCGAGTAGTATGCTAGGAGGGTGCAGTTTGCCGACGGGGTTGCTCTTCCGCTTCTTCCATCGACGTGTCGACTCGCTATCTAGGCAGCTCCGTCCCAGAACGTTGCCTGTTCTAACCATACATGGGGCTAGATGCCTTGTTCCTG